TTTTCTATAAAAATTTTTCCTTCATTATTACCGAAAACTTGCATTTTTTCCCTTAAGTCAAGGTCAACATCTGTGTATGTATGTATGTATGTATGTATGTATGTATGTATGTATGTATGTAATGTGTGTGGGTGTTTTGTCTTCATATATGTGTATGTATCATATACATGCCTTCTTTTATTATTATTATTATTGTATGTGTACATATGCCTTGCATCCCATGTTAAGGTTGGAGCACAACTTTGGGGAGTTAGTTCTCTCTTTCCACCATATTGGTCCCGGGAACAAACTCAGGTTATCAGGCTTGGTGGCAAATGCCCCTACATGCTAAGTTATCTTGTTGGCCTCTTGTTGGATTTTTGTCTAATTTTCCTATGCTTACAGAATGAGTGTTTTTCTTACTTTTCCTTTGCTGTGATAAAACACCATGACCAAGACAATTTAAAGAAGAGGCTTATAGTTTCAGAGGACTGGGGTCCATGACCACCATGATGGTGGCAGGCAGGCAGGCAGGCAGGCAGGCAGGCAGGCAGGCAGGCAGTCAGGCAGGCAGGCATGATTTTGAAGCAGTTGGGAATTTACATCTTTATCTGCAAGCAAGAGGAATAGAGGAATGGTGTGGGCTTCTGAAACCCTTCTTTCTTTCTTTTGAAAGCCAGCCCTTAGTGACACACCTCCTCCATCAAGGCCACACCTCCTAATCCTTCCCAAACAACTCCAACAACTGGGAACTGAGCTTCCAAATGTATGAGCCTATGGGTGCTATTATCATTCAAACTACCACAGAGTTGTAGATTTTTCCTCATTGTCTGTTCTCAGGAAGAATTTGGAAGGTTGGGGTTGTTCCTGCCTGAATGTTTGAACAGCTCATTTTGCTACCTCTGCAGAGGTCTGGGTGCCTTTTCCAGGTGTGATGGAGTCTTACTCCTCTGGCAATGGGACCTTTGCTTTTACACACTTGTTAAATTGAACTTTTTGGTAAAGTTTGCTCATTTAAATCAGACTTTCAAATATAATTGCAGAAACTTCAAAAACACCTGCTTATCTTTTTTTTTGTAGTGTTTTAGACTATGATGTGAGGTCATCCAATCTTACCATGCTTTCATCTTGATTTGGTCCAACAGATTCAATTTCATTAATAAAGGACCAACATTTGCTTCCTCAATACTCTTGAATGTTTGTTCTGTCCCATTCATTCTCTTATCTTTACCATTTCTTTCTTTTTAGTTCTTCTGAAGATTTGTGCTTAGCTGTTTTATCTTTAGTTCTTTTTTTTTCTAATATAAAATTCCCTTTTTTCCTTGTGACCCTCAAGGCTATGAGACTGATGTACTGCCTACTGTATTTAAAAGGCTCTGGCTAAATTCCCTTATTTTAAAATACAAAATTCAATGCAATATTAATCAAAATGGTGATGGAAATTGTACAGAGTAGCAGTGATTTAATTATATATGGAGATAAAAATTTAAGGATAGAAAAGACACTTATGAAATATAATTTGTATAGAGAACTTGTTTGGCCAAGCATTGGGATTTATTTAAGCATATTGAGAATTTTAAAATGGCGAGGTTTGGGTGCAGTAACTAGAAAACAAACCAATAGAATAGAATGCAAAGCCCAGAAAGAGACTAGTGTGTTTATGATCACATCGTTTATGGCAAAAATATAAGGTGGAGGGGGGAAAGATGGCTTTTCAGCAAATGGCTTGGGCAAAATGTGACCTCTTGGAAAAAGTTGAGCCCAAACTCATATTGTTCATAAACAAGAAGCAACCCCAATGTGATAAAGAAGAAAAGGAGTCAAGGGCCACAGATGCAGACCACTGCGCTCAGTCATCTCCTTCAACTCTTTCAGGACACTGCTGATTGTGGGGTACTGACTACCTCACTGCTGAGACGGTTTTTCTAAATGCCAATGAGATTTAACACCTTTTCATAGATTAGGTCTGAGCATCCTCATTGTGAAGCTGGTCAGGCTTTTTGTCCATCTTTCTTTCCTTTAATGTTTTTTTGATGGCGTGTGTGTTTGGTGTGTAGTGTGGTGTGTGTGTGTGTGCGTGCATGCGTGCACATGTGTATGTATGCATGTGTGTGGTGTGTGCGCACATGCCCATAGATAAGGGCGAACCATCACGAGCCTGGAGCAACACTGACAGCACCAAGCCCCAGCAATCTTCCTTCCTCTGCCGCTGGGCTCTAGGGTTACAGGCACACTCAGCCACACCCTGCTTTTCACAGGGACTCCAAGGGATCTCCTGTCACCGAAAGGTCTTGCCCACTGAACCTTCTCCTCTGCACATCTGCCTCTTTCTGGCTTCTTGGAATTTCATGAACCCCAATCTAACCTCAAACTTGCTATGTAGTTTAGGATGACCTTCAATTCCTGATTTTCTTGACTCCCAAGTGTTGGGATTACAAGTGTCTGATTATGTAAATTCTGGATTTTGTTGTTTTGAATTAGGGTCCACTGTTCTATCTCCAGAGGGCTTGAATTAAAGGCTTGCACTACCTCACTGGGATTTGGAAGGGTTCTTTTGTTTTTGAGAAAGGATTTCTCTTGCGTTACCCTGGCCATCTTGAAATTTACTCTGTAGATCAGGCTGACCTTGAACTCACAGATCTGCCTGCTTCTGCCTCCCAAGTGCTGGAATTAAGGGCATGCACCACCACTGCCTGGCCTGTAAGAGTTCTTCGGGTCTGGTTACATGTCTTTGATTGGGTATATGTACCAATGGTTTTACTTTGTTTACTTTTTACTTATTGGCCTTTTATAAAATGAACAATGAAATACACATATAAAATTGGACATGGAGGGAGGGTTCCTAACCATTCAACTTTGTTAAATAGAACATATTTGAAAACATGTGCCATTTACTATGATAATAAAACAAAATCCTAACATTTTAGCACCACACTTTCAGGAAAGAGGTGAATGAAAGAGTTAGTGGAATTCCAGTTTCATAAATTGTCAGCTCACATAGATACAGATGGATGTCACAAAATTCCTTTGGCCTAGGAGCCAGCCACCTTTTCAAGGTAGGGGATGGGTAAATGGCCTCCCTGCCTGCACAGCCAGAGCCCTGGGAGGCATGCAGCCAAGGGGCCCACGGTAAGGGTCCTTCTGGCTGTGTTCTGAGGCTTTCTTGTAATTATTGCTATTTAAACAGACAAGGCCAGTCAGGGAGGACCTGGTTTCCCCAGGAAGAAGGGCAGGGGGTAGGGAAGGGCACTTGTCCTAACTGCCTTGTTTGAATTCAGAACATTAAGTTCATTTCACCATTGCCTCAGCCCATCAAGGAAGCACTTTGAGTCAATTATTCTTTGAATGTTTGCTTGGTGCCACTGTGACTTGGTGACATTTCACTTGGCTGTCCCTCACGACCTATTTATAGTACTCATTTTAAATATATACTTGGTTTGACACATTAGAGAGACTATTAGAAATATGGGAATCTGGGTAGAAAAGGTTTTGAAAGTTAATAAAAAAGTAAACAAATCCAACGCAGGAGAACTTAAAAATCTGTCTCCCTGGTCCTGAACACTGGCTTAGCAGAGTCAAGTAAGAGCTACAGAATGCTATTACAGTTGCCCCATTTGGTCAGTATCCCTGAGGGCAAGTCCATCTGCAGACCCACAGAAGAACCGGAGTAAATCCGCATTGTTGTTTGTTGGTGATCAGCACAGCATACGTCGGTTCCAGCGTGGAGAGGACATGCCCTGTAGTCCACAGAAGACATTCTTATTTTGTTTGTTTGTTTTGTTTTTTTTTTGAGACAGGGTTTCTCTGTGTAGTTTTGTAGACCAGGATGGCCTCGAACTCAGAGATCTGCCTACCTCTGCTTCTCAGGTGCTGGGATTAAAGGTGTGTGCCACTACCGCCTGGTCTAGAAGACATTCTTGTATGTCATAAATGTTACTCACCATGGCTTCTCCCAGAATGTCTTAGAGGCTATTTGCCCATCTTTAATAGCTGCAAGTGTGGAGAACTGATTATTCTGACCACATATGAGATCCTAGGATCTTCCTTAAGGCACTCTTCTGTACCCATCTACTCTCTCTGTCTGTGTCTGTGACTGTGTGTCTGTGTGTGTGTGTCTGTGTGTGTTTGTCTGTGTGTGTGTCTGTGTGAGTGTCTATGTGTGTCTGTGTCTGTGTGTGTGTCTGTGTGTGTGTGTCTGTGTCTATGTGTGTCTGTGTGTGTCTGTGTGTGTGTCTGTGTGTGTGTCTGTGTCTATGTGTGTGTGTCTGTGTGTGTGTCTGTGTCTCTGTGTGTATCTGTGTCTGTGTGTGTGCCTGTGTGTGTGTCTGTGTGTGTGTGTCTGTGTCTCTGTGTGTGTCTGTGTGTGTCTGTGTCTATGTATGTGCCTGTGTCTATGTGTGTGCCTGTGTGTGTGTGTGTGTCTATGTCTATGTGTGTGTCTGTGTGTGTATCTGTGTCTGTGTGTGTGTGTCTCCTCCGTCTCCCTGTCCCTCTTTCTACTCCCTCTCCCTCTGTCCCTTCCTCCCTGTCTGCCTCCCCCAACTTCTCTGAGAGACAGGATTTCTCTGTGTAGCTATGGCTGTCTTAGAGTTCACTCTGCAGACCAGGCTGGCCTGGAACTCACAGAGATCTGCCTGCCTCTGCCTCTGAGGATTCAAGTTAAGTGCCAACACCGCCTGGCTGCCTTATACTCTCTCTCTCTTTTTTTTTTTTAATATTTTATTTATTTATTGTGTATACAGTCTTCTGCCTGCATGCCAGCAGAGGGCACCAGATCTCATTCAAGGTGGTTGTGAGCCACCATGTGGTTGCCGGGAATTGAACTCAAGACCTCTGGAAGAACAGTCAGTGCTCTTAACCTCTGAGCCATCTCTCCAGCCCCCGCCTTATACTCTCTTGATGGACAAGCTTCGCAGGTCCTGCAGAAGGACTAAAAACATCCTAGAGATATCACTGCTGTTAAGGAAACAAGGTTCCCTTTTGGGTTTTTAGTCTTGTTAATAAAAGAATTTAAAAACAGATTCAGAAATGCAATTTTATTACTTCATTGAAAACAGGGCAGATAAGCTGTAAGTCTTAGCTGCTGGCCAGATGATGGGAATGGCAAAGAAGAGGGGAAGAAGCCATTCCTTTGTAGTGGACATTGGGAAGCAGGAGTATGGCATCAGGGTGGGGATGCTTCATAGAAAAAGTGAAAAATCTGAGAGTACCAGGGGACACACATTGAGGTTTTTGGCTAGTATCTGAAAGAAAAACAGAGAAATAGGCACATTGTCTTCGTTAGGGCAACTCTTACAAAGCAAAAACATTTAATTGGGGCTGGGTTACAGTTTCAGAGGTTTCATGGTCCATTATCACCATGGTGAGGAGACATGACAGCGTGCAGGCAGACATGGTGCTGGAGAAGGAGCTGGGAGTTCCACATCTTGTTCTGCAGGCAGCAGCAGGAGACTATGTAGAACCTTGGGTGTAGCTTGAGCATATATGAGACCTCAAAACCTGCCTCCACATTGCCACACTTCCTCTAAGGCCACACCTACTCCAACAAGGCCATACTGCCTAACAGTGCCACTTCCTGTGGGTCAAGCATTCAAACACAGGAGTCTATGGGGACCATTCCTATTAGAACCACAACATGCTATCATTAAGTGATAATCAGTTCTTCCCTTTCTTAGCATGCCTGCAAGTGGGTCAGATTTTCTTGAAGCAGGGTGGACTTGGTTGTAGACTCCTGGTCAAACGATTGCCAGTGTCGGTTGGTTTTGCTCTTAAAAGGAGGACACAGCATTATATAACGCTTTGGGTTGCTTAGACTGCTGTGTCTCTGCCCAGGGCCAGAAGTTTCTACCAGGAAGAAGCAGTTTTCCCTTGATGAGCCTTAACCAAGTCTAGTTACCTCTACCTTTCCATGCAGTAACTGAAATTCTAGGAAAGGGGTCTATCATGGGGAAGGGGTCCAAAGGCCTCCAAAGATAAAACAGATAATACATTCCAACTAGGCGTAATTTTCATTAGAAAAAAAATTCTAATGCTGTCAAATTAGGTAAAACCCAATACCTTCCATGCAGTGTGAAGCAAGTGGCACATGAACCCAGGCTTTTTTTTCTTTCGTTTTTCATATAGCTTTCAAATATCTTCAAAGCATCACATAGAGATACTTTTAGTTATACTCCCCTCCCCCCACTATGGCTTTGCTTTATAAGTTTCCAGTTACCTAGATATGTCAAGTGGGAAATCCCAGAAGTGAATAATTCATGAGTCTTAAATTATGAGTAGGATTGTAAAATCTTGTACCATTCTATTCTTCCCCAGCAGGGACATGACTTTCCCTTTATCCAGCGTGCCCACACAATATATGCTGCAACCTGTCCCTTAGTTGCTTATTGGGGTATATACAGGAAAAGCATATGGAATGTATAGAGTTTGGTAGTATACATTGTTTGTGGATCTTAGAAAGTATCTTCCATGGTTAAAGGGTTATATTTGAATAGGAAATAAATGCACTATTGTATCCCAGTAGGAAATACCCTGCTGTATCTGAGTAGGAAATACCCTGCTGTATCTAACTAGGAAACACACTGCTGTATCCCAGTAGGAAATACCCTGCTGTATCTGAGTAGGTAATGTAGCCTCTATCAGGCATAATGGTCCACACCAATAATCCTAGCTTGCAAGAGTCTGAAGCACAAGGACAAGTCCAAGGTGAGCCTGGGCTACAAAGAGGGAAGGAGGAAGATGGAAAGGATGGAAGGAAAGAGAAGATACAGCTTCATGATTCAGAGCTTTAGACCACAAAGGCAAGCTGCTTGAGCAGTCACCAGGTTTACCTGAGGGTACCAATTCTTAACTCCTGGCCTCTGGCCCCATCTTTCTCTCCTGCTTTCAGAATGGAGAGAGTTACATAACTTGAATAATTATTATTACAATAACAACTGATGAGTCTGAGAGGAAAAAAATGATGTGTCCAGCCCAGTTCTGTCCTTTCTTCTGGGAGCCAAAATGGTTTCACCCCCACTACCTTTGGCTCTTTAATTTTATTAATGGGGGGAGCTTGCTTATAGTGTCAGAGGGTTAGTCTGTTATCATGGCGGGGGCCTGGTGGGAGCATGCCAGCATTCATGGCATTGAAATAAGTAGCTGAGAGCAAATCCTGATCCTCAGGCAGAGACTGGGCCTGGTGGGGGCTCTTATTTGTTTGTTAGTTTTGTTTGAGCCAGCGCTGGTATGGACTTTTGAAACCTCAAAGCCCACCCCAGTGACACACTTCCCCCAATAAGGCCACACCTCTTACTCCTTCTAATCCTATCAAAGAGCATTCAAATATATGAACCTATGAGGGCCATTGTTATTTAAACCACCACACTCATTGACTGGAAGGAAGGCATAGTGTGTGTGTGTGTGTGTGTGTGTGTGTGTGAGAGAGAGAGAGAGAGAGAGAGAGAGAGAGAGAGAGAGAGAGAGAGAGAGAGAGAGAGAGAGAGAGATGTTGACAGAGACAGACGAGACAGAGAGACTGAGACAGAGACACAGACGACGAGATAGATTCGTTGGAAAGCTGTTGAAAGTTCATCTGTGAGAGTGAACATACACTAGCTGGAGACTTGAGAAGAGGAAGAAAGTGGGCATGGCTGTGGAGGGAACCAGATAAACAAAGCCGAATCGCCCTGGAGGCCACATCATAGCTGTGCTGTGATCGGAGCTGAGGGCGTTGGTGTGTGGTTCCACAGTCCTTCTCAGCCGCTCAGAGAGAGGCTCAGGGAGGACCCAGGGAAGTGTTGCCAGAGAGCGGCTACTGCTCAGCCTAGCCTCTGCATCTCTGCTTCTCCGGTGTGGTAGACAAAGACCCTCACTTCATGATAAGAGTCCCGGGGCCTGAGAGAGGTGGAAGCAAGACATGTGAGCGGCTCTGCCATAGAGAACAGTTTATAAGCCCAAACACAGGACTCCTCCCCACTTTTGCTTTGAAAACGAGAAGCGTTGCAGTCTTACACACTCCCTGGGCCTTACCTTTCGTACGGTCGTTAATGTGCGCCTTTTTCTCAACAAAAACTGTGCGTGGGTTCATCGCTACACTTTACATTTGCATTTTAAAGCTTAAGAGGTGCATGGCCTTGCGGACAAGCTTGGCAGCTGGCAAGGTTCTTCTCTGAACTCCTACTTCAGTGGAGTTAAAGCTTAGCGGAGATGCACGGGGAGGGAATCGTAGGCCTGCAGGTGTTTGCGGGAATCCGGTGGGCTCTGTTCGTGTCTAGCTGGCTCAGATGCCTTTGAAAATGAACCATCAGATGTTATTTCTAACATGGCTAAGGAGAGATTTAGTTTGGCTTTACTTTTGGTTAGGACAGGGTTTTATGTAGCCTAGGCTGACCTCTAACTTACTAAGTAGCTAAAGCTGACCTTGAATTCCGGATTCTCCTGCTTCTGAGTGCTGGGCTTACGGACTTAGGCCTCCATACCTGGATCTAAGGTAAACCGTGTTATATGAGTGGGAGTACAAAGGGAATATCCTCAATACTATAGTGTCATAATTGACACTAAATTGTCAATTCAAAAATAACGATAATGGCTGTTAATAACTTAACAGTTGATTTGCCTTTTATTTATCAAGTTATTATTATTTTCTCTTCCACTGACAATTCAAATGAAAATCCAAAGGCTTGGGAAACGATCCGATGCCTTTGGAAAGTGCTTGCTGTGCAATCATGAGGACCTGAGTTCCCATCCCCAAACTCGTGTAAAAAGCTTGACACGGTGCTTATATAAGACAACTTGTTAACATTTTCAGCAAAGGTAGTGGTTCAACTCATCCCCGAGACAGATTCCACTTCTCAGAGTCAGAGATTAAAACCCATTTGGCCTAAACAAAAAAGATGACTAATACAGGCCCATGTACCAGAAACATCTATGGTTGGTTTTAACGTGAAGGTGACACAATTAGATTCACCTGCATTGGGAGCCGCAGCTGAAGACCTGGTTGATGAGCTTGATAGAAAGGCGGCACCTTTGGCTGCAGCACAGATAGGAACATTTCCTGCCTTAGGTTTGCTGGGCCTTCTGAGCCTCCGTCACTGCTACCAGAGCCAGCGTTTCCTGGCTCCCATCAGAGACAAGGACCAGCAGCTCTCCAGGAACTTCCCACCTCAGCGGCAGATTGGGACTACGGAGGCGTCCAGCCTGGGGGACTGAGCAGACCCCACTGTGGGATTATTCAGACTACAGAGAGCCCGCGCCTCCCCCCCCTCCCCCGGGGCTCAGAGATGAGCCAGTACTGGATGCTCAGTTTCCCAGGTTAGATTCAGATGCTGCTGTTGTTGTTGTTATTGTGTGTGTGTATTCATGTGTGTGATATATAAGTCATCCCATTGGTTCTGTTCCTTAAGAGATCCTTGACCAATATGCATTGACAACAGGTGACTGATTTCAGATTGCAGCTGGCCCAGGCTTGAGGCTAGGCAACTCTGCTCTTCTGGCTTGCCGTTCCTCTGTAGTTGGCTCCGTATCTGTTGCAGACATACTTTCTCTACTTAGAGCCCCTTCACTGGTGACACCAACGTGCTTGCTTCAGCTGATCTCAGTGGGGGTCACATGAACCAACAACTTCTAGGCTTTTAGGCTATTTACGTGCATTCTTGGCTTTTGTCTGTCGCGGTGACAGAAATGTTTTATGATTTCTGTAGTCACCACCAGCCGAGCTTCTTCCTCCAGCAGTGAGCCCTGGGCATGAAGCACTTCTTCTGCCTTGGCTCAGTGCTGCTTAGACTAGACTCCTTCACCACTGCCACCCCTTCGCTTCCTCAGCTGACGACCTACTGCTCCTTCCCGATGCACACCACCATCTTCCACCCGCGCTCCCCCCGCCCAGCACCTGCACACGCAGGGAGGGCGCTCGGGTTCCCAGGTCCCACAGCTCTGCAGTGCATGGGGCTTCATGTGTCATGATGCCACACTGTGTGCGGGCTCTCACAGCTGTCATGTACACCGTGCCTAGAAGCTCCCATTGGCTCTTTGTCTTCTGTAGGTCCTCATGGCTCAGACTTGGCTCTCATGCTCTGTTGAACTCGTTGGCAGTTGGTTGCTGCTATCTGCAGCTGTGGAAATGAAGCACATAGTAGGCCAGGCTTTTTTTTTTCTCATAGTTTAACCCCCAGTGGAATGATCATATAGTCTTCTAAAGTGGACTTTGCATTGTCTTATGTGAATGACAATGACTCCGAGCCCCCGGACTTGCCCTCCCCATAAAAAGGGGACAGTCTTCACCTCACCTTTCGTTGTCTTCTGCCGGATGGGGTTGACGTCGGTTCTACCTAAACCAGGTGCCGGACTGTTCCCTTCTAGACGGCAATAGTTCCCTTCCTACCCCTCCATTTCTCTACAAATCGCATATGTTTGATCTTCACACCTTAGAAAGAAAATGGAATGAAGTCCGTCATATCACTTGACTCATTAATTTCTAACCCACAACCAGGTGGGCTGATGTATTCCCAAAGCTGTTCCACTAAATCCAGATTTTCCCTGCCTGAGGAATACTGTAAACATTAACAGTTACTTCCATCCTGCTGGGCCCTAGCCTCTGACCACCACAATCTAGTTAATTCTCTATGGATTGATTAACCAGCTGGACATTTCATACAAACAACATCTCAGCCCACAGTCTTTCATACCCAGCTCCTCTAACTCAGCACAGCGTCTTCAAGCTTTGCCCATGTCATTAGTGTGTATCAGCACTTCATTTCCTTTCTTAGCTTTTTATGTCCCATAAAATCTGTGGTGGCAGCAGATTTTTACTATATATCCAATCAGTTTAGGATATTTTGTTTGCTACCATTTTGGGGTGACTATGAATAATGTTTTTATTTCCTATAAACAGAAAAGGATGATAAAGAACCCAAAAATAGATTGCATAGTACCTTATTAACTTTGAATTTTCTGAATGCTAATGAGAAAGGAGTAACAGCCATGGAGAGACGTTGGATAATAGAAAAAAACTACGGAACTAAATCAGCCAATATACTTTAAAGATGTCTTGACTGCTCAATGGAAGCCAGGACATGTATTATGTTGGGGAAGAGGTTTTTTCTTTTGTTTCCACAGGTAAAGAAAAGCTATGGATACCATCAAAATCGATGAAGATTTGATTTGAACAAGAAACCTCTTAATTAGAAGAGATGATAGTTCATCAAGCAGCATGGCCATTTAATCTAAACTAACCTATAAAGCTAGCAAATATTTTTCATTTAATCAGATATAATTTGCCAAAGGAGACTCTCTCAAATTTAGGGTTGGGGAAGGATTTTATTTTTGTCATTTTGGAGAACAAATGGATTCAGCTAAGGAATCCAGAGACCACTGGACAATTGAGACATCTGAAGAAAAGGACAAATAATACAGAAAAATTGTCCCAAGGAAAGTTGTAAATTGGTCTTTTGGTATAGCACATTTACAACAGGATAAAATTTCCTGGATATTCCCAAATGTTTGTTTCTGCTTTTCTCTACAGACATATAATGCAAATGGTTCTATTGTAGTCCTGGTCCAATTAAAGATTAAAAGCCGGCTTTGGAGTTGGAGAATGGCTCTCTCCTTCTCTAAACCCAAGCATACTTGTTAAAGAAAGATCAAAATATGTCTCATGTCAGAAGAGCCACCTGATATGGAACAGAAGAAAAACAGATATTTAAGGACTATTGTATTGCCACTGAAATGCCTTGAGGGACCTATAAAAAGCCTATATGCCAAAGCCAGTTTATTCATTTCCTGCAACTGTGAATGAAACACCTTCCCAGAACAATTAAGTAACCTGATGCCTATTGAAAGAAAACATATTGTTCTGGATGAAAGAAGAACTTTAGAAGCTCAAATAAAAAATTTAGAAGTTGTAGATCAAAATTCATCAGAATTAGATTAGGAACCTCCCCAAAGTTAGGGTTGGGGAAGGGTTTTGTTTTTGTCTTTCCAGAAAAATAAAACAATTAAACTATCTTGACGAATTTAAGATCTTTGGACAAACAAGAATTACCAAGACAAGAAGTAATCTGACCTAATGGGATCTCTGAAGTCTTCAAAAAGATTGAATCCAAGCTGGGTGAAAGTCACAGCTAACTTTAATACCACCATTTGGGAGGCAGACTCAGGTGAATCTTAGTGGTTTCAGGCAGCATGATCTACAAAGTGAGTTTCAAGACAGCCGGGACTGTTAACACAGAGAAACTCTGTCTCAAAAAACAAAGAAGATGGAACCCCACAACAATTTTACCAGTACAGTGATAATACCATTAAGCTGAACATTAACAACAGGAGATCAATTTGGACTATGAAGTACTCAGAACTATTTTGAGGAGGTCAACTGAGATGATCCAGCTTCACAACTCTGCTCAGAAAAATTTCGAGTAGGCTCCTGAGATGATCTAGCCTCACAGATTACGCTGGCCAGGACTTGAGACAAACCCTGTACTTTCCCAGAGACTGGAACAAAAAACAATACAGCTTGGCAGTTAACCCAAAATTTTCTTTTCAGGATTCCCTAAAGATGCAGTAACCCCCAGAGAGCAGGAAGTAACTTTAAGCCTCGATGCCCACATCCCAAGAGGTGGGGGTGGGTGTTTTTTTCTTTCAGTGGGTTATGGATATTTGTCATTGTTTAAAGAGATTGATAGCAAAATGTTGTGGGTTAAAGTCAGGAAGAAAGTTGAACAAAGGGAATTAGATTCAAGATTTTTATTTAAAAAAAGATACAGATATGAATGGATGAAAGGACAGATTATTGAATCTATTTTTGAAAAGAAAAAGGCAGGATATAGGTATAAGATAAAAAGGAAGATTATTGAGTCTACTTTTAAAAAGTATAGATACAATGAGATGAAAAGGTAGGTTATTGAATCTACTTTTAAAAAGCATCTACTAGTTTTAGGTATTTTACATGGGATTGGACTTTTGTATATTGTATACAAATATTGTATATTGATGCAAATTTGAAATTAATTTGTTAAAGCATACTGTACATGCTTTTCTAATCTAGTTCAAAGTATTGTACCTATGCAGTTCATTTATCAATGTAATGTAAATTTCTAGTTCTTGAAAGTTATTATTGCCAACTATCTAAGATAATAAGGAAATGTAGGGGAGTAACTAGTCACCTATTACAATCAAACTTGTAATCACATTAGGTATGTTTTCAAAGTCAAACAGAGATATATTTTAGGAAGACAGTTATCTTCAAGCACTTCAGATATCTACAGAATATGGCATTTAGAATGTTTTTAATAACATAAGTTATTTTTTATGACAATGAAACATGTCTGCTTTTGGCAACACCTGTCTACTTCAGAGTAGATGGTGGGCGTCAAAGAAACTCTACGTGGAGCTTACTTTCTGCGTGGCAAAAGTAAGCCACTGGGAAAGACAGGGCCCTTGCCTCGACTGCTGACCGTATGCTGTCCAAAATGGACAAACAGGACACAAAAGAGTGACTGCAAAACCTTGCCAAGACAAGATGGCACAGCCCTTCAGAAAATCCTGCGTCACGGAAAAGTCTGCCAGAGATGCTAGACCTATAAGCGGAAAATGGATGCCCCAACATTGTAGAGCAACATTGGGTGACTGTCCAGGCAACCAGCTGTTTTTGTCATTTCTTAAAATTTTTAGAAGTCGCTTGATCATACTTCCTGTTTGCTCAGTTAATATTATTTCCTTTTCAGGTCTCTGAGGGAGTTGAAGACTAGATAGTATAGTTGTAGTTTTCATTGTTTACCAGACTCAGAAAAGGAACTCACTAATGATGTGTAAAATGTAAATGGTTTGAGAGACATAGTCATGACATAGTATGACTTACTAAAGCTTGACTGAGGATGCAGAAAAGCAAAGTCAGCCTCAAGCTATAGAGATCAGCAGTGGTGATACACACCTTTAATCCCAGCAGCCAGAAGCTAGGAGATGCTGCTACACACCTTTAGTCCTAGGGCTCAGGATTAAGAGATAGACAGATCTCTGTGAGTCTAAGGCCACCCAGATCTACACAAGAATGAATTAGTCTAAAAGAGAATTAGAGCTCACACCTTTAATCCCAAGCAAGGTCTCAGTTGAGGCATTCATTCTCCAGCCACACTGAGGAGAGGTTACAGCCCGAGGCTTGATGAGAGCTCCTGGAGACAGGATCAGCTCTTTAAGCCTGAGGTAGTAGTAAAAGCTAGTGGCAGAATGCTTTGATTTTCTGATATTCAGCTTGAAGTTTGAACCCAAATATCAGTCTCTGGGTAATTTGTTTTTTTTTTTTGTCTTACAAATGGTGTTCT